CGCCGTCGCGCGGACAGCCCATCATCGCAGAGTTCACTCGGGAAGTCGATGACCAGACCCTCCTCGTCGACGTTGCTGGCGGTGTCGAGGGACTCGCGGCCCTCCCAGTCGCCCTCCTCGGTGCTGAACAGCTGGCGCGGTACGGTCAGCGGCGCGCGCTCCGGCACCATGTCCGGGTTTTTGACGGCCGTGCGCGACTCCAGGTGTCGCTCCACCTCCTCGGGTGTCATGTGGCCGTTGTCGCCGAAAGAGCGCGACACCTGGGAGCGCGCCGCCTGCCGCGCGCACACGCCGGTCACAACGGGAGGGGACAGTGCGACGGACTAGCTGCATGAGATGGAGATGGACGATGCGTGACGTTCTGGCAAGGCTAATGAATTTTGTGTACACTACCTGCTGGTTTGTGTAGGGTAGTGCCCTGAATGCGCTTGATGGCACAACTTGTGATGGCAAGCTAATTCATTCAGTGCACATATCCGACCAGGTGGTGTCCTCTAACACATCCAGAGGCAAACAGCAAAACAGTAAAAGATGAAAGCAGCATGAACAGTAAGACTGTTGACACACATACCACATTTTTCCCCTTCAATATCTGCTTTTTTCGTTTCGCCGGCGATCGTTCTGCTCCTGCTTCTAATTTTCTCCTGTTGACACCGAGACCAATGGCAACGTAAGAGACAATGAAAACGTACACCTTCCGAAGGAACATATGGACCAGGGACAGAAAGCATGACCAGATCGATCACCAGAATCATGTTAATGATACAATAAAAGAAAAGTTCGCCACCAACCATCAGCAGTTCAACATTTTAGAACATCTCATCCACATCCAAAGAACCTTGCTTTTATCAAAGAACACACCACAAGTCAAAGGGCTGACTCAAGCACAAGATTCGCCAGAGACCGGCACGTTACGGAGCCTAAGCCATAGCCGCCCACTGACCTGCTGTGTTTACTGTCCGCCTCTGTGTCAGAGCCCTCAGTGGTCTCCGAGTCGGACGAGTTCACAGCCGTCTCGTACTGCAGCAGCCGGTCCAGCAGAAAACACTTGTCACGGTTCAATTTCAGCAGCTTGCGCTGGCAGCGCATCAGCTCATCCCGGTATGACTCATTCTCCTGAAGAACAAACTTCAGCATAGCACAGCTGCTTGCCAGAGGTTCTCATTCTCAGATGGTAGGCCAAACACGCTACAAGCTAGGTGATGTGATAATAATAATACTGCAATGCTTTTTGATATAAGGTTGTCTGTGCGCAAGTGGTGGAGCAGCAACTACTGATGGTTTCTTTCAGAAATGATGCAATTTCAACAGATCAATGCAAAAGTTAAATAAAAACAATGTCAACATGTTGCTAAGAAATGCCAAACCTTTTGACATGTGACACAAGCCCTTTATCACTAAACTGCACCACATCCCTGGAATTCAATGCACTTGCATAGGTTTACATTTCTATCAAGCTGACTTTAAAAATTAACAAACATAATTGCAATTTCTCAACACATTTTCTATGCCATTATGCTTACAAACACCAGGGTCCTTAGCTTCCGCTTCAACTTTGAGTACTTTACTCTGTAAAGCTCAGATTCATCCTTGATGTTTATTGAAGAATTCATCCTCTGAAATAAACCCAATAATGTCACATGGATATGTCAAATCTAGGCACTTCAGCTTACCATCTACAGATTTGACCATACTCCAAATTTGTACAGTGTGTTCACATATGGGCTACTACATACTCTTTGAAATATTGAATTTCAGGGAATGTTAAGGTCTGAAAAATCAAACACTGTGGATGTTCTGAATAACATAAGCAGAACAAACCATGACATGTTGATAAAGTCATTTTTGTCTCAGAGAAAGAAAGATGGCTATTTATTGACTTCAGGATGGTCATTAACACAAAAGTAGCAGTCAGCACACCCCCACACAGACACTCCTTTTGCACACCAGTCTATGGCACATACTTTCAGGAAGCATCATTCTTGTCTCAGCAGAAAATGATAATCAATGAATGTGAAACATAGTGTCATGTGCAGGGGCCAGTCCGCCAAACATGGCAAACGTACCAACAAGATTTGTTGGGCAGGTGTAATTTGTACCAAATTATGATAGCCAACTGCCCAAATCTGGGCAGAGTATGGTTTTGTCAGACTATGTTACCCCTCAAACCATGATTCACTACCATTCTTAGCCATTGCCGGTAATCTTTTCAGCTTTGTGCATCACAGAACAAGGCTGAGCCCTGGACAATGACACAACCAACCAAAACATACACAACCAGGCTTCTACCTGGATTTGACCGACTTTCGCCTTTAATTGGGGGCTGGAGCCCAGGTTTGTGGGGAATGGGGCAACTGACTGGGAAACTATACTCCCATACCAGGTGCGTTTGGTACCGTGTTTACTAAAGTTCGGCATCGAAGGTCAATCAACTGGTGTTGAAAGGAAGGCATCAGTTATACTGCTACTAGGCTACTTACCGTAGATCATCATAAGAAACCCTGCCCTAATAACAACCAAACATCCCCCCCCCTACCTGCTCCACAAACCCACAGGCTCGGCCGCCTTCCTTCGTGCTGCCATCACCTGTATGAAGATCACTAGTGGGTAATTATTACTCTTGTCCCAGGCCGCCAATAAGCCTATTCATTTTGTTGAAAAATACCTGATCTATTTAATAGTTTTGTTTTATTTTTAGTTGCAATGTTTCAGTTTTTGGGTACTAATTGGTAAAATATTTTAACACATAACCATAATGTAATTTTTCCGGTAGGTTCACGGCAATGCTCACTGCACTGCACCAAGGCCATCGCACCAAGTAGCTGCGGCGAAAGTGCGCTAGGTTCGTCAGAAAATGTGCTGTTGTTGACGGGCTCGCTTAGTATCTAGTGTGTGGTGGGTGGGCGAAACAGTAAACAGTTCCCACGGTGCATATAACGTTCTTGTCATGATGATTTTACATTTTAAACATAACTATTTAAACACGGTTTGTTGTGTTGAAAAGGAAGTTGTTAGTACATCAGGCAGATATAGAGGTAAACAGGCATACTCCTGTCTCCGCCGGAAATTGGGCGCAACAGCTTGCCAGCTAGTGAAGCTTGAAGTGCGTCAGACATGGTCTTGTTTGTGCTGTAGGTGTTTTCCTCAGCTTTGTACTTTTTCACTATTTCGATAATAATAGTTTATGTTTTTAGCATTTATAATCTTGTGGGAATGATCAGAGCAATAATAGCAATGCAACCATTACACAACCATCTAATCCTGGTTCTGGATGCCATTCTTTCAGACAAGACATTCAGACCCACATGCTGAAAATTTCAGGAGTTTAGTGCAGTTTGAGTTATGTCTTGATACCAAGAAATAGACAAAAACAGTGAAGATTTAGTCACATTATCCATGAGATGTAGAGACAACACCAATGGTTATTGTTATGTGTTTTGTTTTTGCATTTGTTATGTATGTTGTATGGAGATGACATAATTTTTTTCAGTGTCTTGATGCTTAAGATGCAACCTTAACAGAGACAAATTTATCTTGCTCTGAAGTTATTGGGCCACAAACAGTGACTTGCCCAATGGTTTGAAATGAGAGGCACTGCCTGTGTGGATAGCACAAACTGCTTTATTGCCCCTGTGTTTATGTATTTAACAATCCATACATGTTTGAAGATTTGCCTGTGAGTGCCACAGTCATATGCCTTTCAGTCTTCCTGATCTGTTACACTTCATACCTCTGTCTGATGGCTGAGACATTATCACACTGCAGCAACAGCATGTAATTGACTTGGATTTCAGACAGCATTGGACAAGTAAAGGGAGGTACTCTAGACCTGCTTGTATCTTTTGCTGGCAGACCATATTACAATGGCTGAGTGCTGCAAGGTTTGTGGCGCCCAGTTCCATGAGCCTCTCTCGCTGATTGCGCACCTCACATCACACAACCCTCGCCTGGATGCTGGTGCGCTGGGCCTCGAGTATGAGTACGCAGACGCTGGGCCGGCTACCGGCCGGTTGACGGCGTCGGCTGGCGGCCGCCGGATGCCGACGAGGAGGCAGCACTGCGCTGCTCGCCCGCTCAACCTGGCCGGGCCGCGGCCGCGCGGACTCGGCGCCCTATGCTCCCTTTCCGGAGGGCTGCTACGTGCCGGACGGCGACGACGGGGCGAGCTTCACTGTGGCTGCGGCGGTGCGGCCTGGTAGCGGGACCGCGCCGCGGTCGGACGGCTGGCTGTTGCCGCCGTGTGCCTCTATCCGGCACTACTCCGGCTCGCCGGCGCCGGTTTGTTCGTGCCGGCGCCGGCGCCGCTGCCGCCGCAGCAGCCGCCGCCGCCGCCCCCTCAGCCGCCGGCGCCGCCGCCGCTCGCGTGCCGCCCTTTCCGCTGCTCGCTCTGCGACGAGGGATTCGACGAAAAGCAGGGCCTGCGCGCGCACCTGGAGGAGCACAACGTGGACAAGCAGTGCGTGTGCGACGTCTGCGGAGTCCGTGAGTGTGCTTGTGAGGGTCGGCAAGCTGTGTGTGTGTGGGGGGGGGGGGGGGGAGGGCGGCCAATGATACGTGGATGAGCCTCGCCTGCGGTAGTACATTGTTGGCCAGAAACGTGGATTGGGGAGTAACAGTGAGGCATGCTTTTTCGTTGCCTCATTTCTGTTTGAAAGCATACAGTTTAAGTTCAAACACATGCTCATGATTGTGGATTTCTTTGAACTTTTGATTGCTTTCCTCGCTGTGTGACTCCTACGACGTTGGCATATGTGTATGACGAACATGTGGAAGGCATGAGCGATGACCGGTCTTCCGCGGGCCGGCGGTCGGCCAGGCCTCTCAACAGGTCCTCATTGCGCCGACACCGGCTCAAACACACCGACTCCAAGGAGTACCCGTGTGACGTGTGCGACCGCTCCTTCTACCAGAAGCACGACATGCTGCGGCACAAGGTCCTGCACGATAAGGTGCGTGCTGCGTTCGCACGGCCAAGCACCCAGATTGGTGGTGAAGTGGACTTGTCAGGATTTGGTCATGCCTTTGTTATTTAGATGTATTTTGGTGCCACAATATTTATTGGTGATTATGTTGGCGATGTAATATTTTGGCCAATGCCATGGGAACCAGAAGCCATTTGCCCTAAGTGTCATGGGACAGTGGTCCCTCCTGGCAGGGCTTTCCACGTATAATGCCGTCAGATGCGTGCTGTTGCTTTTTGTCAGTTGGCCTGTTTTGAAAGACTAATTGATCTGCTCTCTGGCTCATCTCACGTGTTCTGCCGTCTTTTCATGCGCTAACCGGTCAGTTGCTGGCAGGGTTCGTTCAAGTCAACGTGCGAACGCTGCGCGCGCGAGTTTGTGGCGCAACACCACATGGCGGCGCAACAAGTGTTGGGTGCGGCCGGCCGGGCGGCGGCGCTCGGCGGCCGGCCAGCTGCCCTGCCAGATCTGCAGTCTCACTTGCAGCACACCTGCTGCCTGGGGCTTTCACTGTGGCGGCACACCAAGGACCCCAAGTACCTGCCGGACTTCAGCGGCGGCGGTCTGGCCGCGGCCGCGACGACGCCGCCCAGCCCCGGCGCCGAGGAGCGGACGGGGCCGCATCCGAGCGGGGCGGAGCGAGCAGAGCCTTCTGTTGATGGGGAGGGAGGACAGAACGGACGCCGCACGTAGGAGGGCGGACAGCGCCGGGTGGTGACTGTGGGGAGGGAGGCGAAACTCGATCCAGAGCGGGAGGATCGGATGGGGCTGGATCCTGGCCCGGGGTCGGCTCGGCTGTGCCGGAACAGATGGCGGCGCGGTCCTAGCCGGCACACGCAGCTAGGCCGAAATCCGTGCCGCGGGGTGATGCGGTCCCGACCGCGAGAGGGCTGGCCGCGCCTCAGGAGCTGCTAGGAGCTTTGTGCTGTGCCAGGCGTATGCTGCAGGCCTTTAAGCGGCAGGGGGTGCAAGACATGTTGCTCCGAGCCGAACATTGGCATGTGCTTTGAGCCATGGTATGGTGAGGGTTGTCGCAGTGGCAATCTTGGAGTAGTAGGTGCTGCTTTCATGGAAATTATTTGCTGCTGGTTTTTGTTGAATGAGAGTGAAGCACAATAATGAAGTGACCTGTGCAGATGGTGCCTCCTTATGAAAAAAACAACAACGTGGAGCACAAAGCCCTTGGTGCTAGGGTGGTAAGCTTGAAAAAAGCATGGTACCCAATA